GCAAGCAGCTTCTTTCCCTGCCTTACATTGTAAACAGGCTACCCCCACCTAAGGGGCGTGTAGCTCTCACATAATCTCCATGCCCTCCTCTTCCACAGGCTCAGGATGTATACAAAGTAAGCACCCTGGCTTCCTGCTGAGTAACTTAGCCAAATCTCTAGACTCCCCAAGTTGACACAATGTATCAGCCATAACAGCACCAATATATGATGGCTCAACAGATGAGTTTTCAATTGTGCAAAAGCAATAAATATTCAGTTGAATTAACCTCTTGAATTTTAAATTTGGATCTTTCCCAGGTTGATTCCTTTTCTAATGATGCTGAGAAGTAGCAAGATCACAAAGGCAAAAAACTAACAGTGTGCTGTGTCATTACTCCCTGATGTTCTGTAGATCAGGTGTACTAAATGCCTTTTTCACTTATAATAGTTTCAACTTACTGTAGGTTCATTGAGCTGTTATGCCATTGTAAGTCAAAGAGCATTTATATTTCTATTGAGTGTTTGCTCCACTGGTCTTAACACTTCTTGAAAATACTATACAGTTAATTTGAGCCAAGATGGAACATACTTTTAAAAGAAAACGCTTTTAAGTATGAATTCCCTATTTTTCCTGCCTTTATAAAATCTTCAATCCAGGACCCATTATTCCAAGACCTTGTGCATTATAAGAGATCCTTACTTCTCTACCTCAAAAATACTCAACAGCCAAAGCAATTAATCTGCCAGAAAATTATAATCAGACCAAACCCTACCAATCCCCTCACCTCCAAAGGGATATGTATCTATTCACATCTGGAGCCAGAGTATATGTTCTGTAGTCAGATCTCCCTTGGGATAAGGAACTAAGTTTCCTATAATAGGCATTAATAACATGCAAAACCTTCATGATTTGGGTCATGCCATATACACATTTGGACTGCCTTCTCTTCTGGTTGGCCCATACTGGCTTTTCCCATCCCATGTATTCCACTTCACTAGCTTCTGCAGTTCACATTTATATATTAAGGTCCAGAGGCAATGTGGCCCAGATAACACAAACCCCTTGGGATTTTCTTAGAAATTTTTAGAGGGGACATATTTTATGTCTAGTTATTCTATTCCTGCTCAACATGTCAACATGTTGACAGACATTGTCTATAAAGTTACTTCCCTGCCAGTCAATGAGAATACACAAAAACAAGAAACATGGGTTTACCCTGAGTTTGAAACATAGCCAAAGCATATGATATTTCTGATAGAAAGCAACCCAACATTCTCCCTGCCAGACACTGGGGTTGCTAAACTACAATGATATGGATCCTATCCTTCCAGAAGTTAATCCTCCTAATGCACAAAACCAACATGGGGAAGCAAAGAGAACGGTGAGTATATTTAACCAGCTTTCTATCACTGTGACAAAACACCTGGGGAGAACAAGGAGCAAAGACTTATTTTGGCCCATGGTTTTGGAGGTTCCAGTCCATGGTTGGCTGACACCAAGGCAGAAACATTATGGCGGAAAGGAACGATAGAGGACCGCCATGCTCCTCATAGCAGCCAGGGAGCGGAGATAAAGAGCACGCCCATGCTGCTAGGCTTCCTCATTCCTCTACTTTTGTACTCTAGTTCTCCAGCTTAGTGGACAGTGCTGCCACACTCGGGGAGGTCTCCCCTCTCTGTTTGCTGTTCCACACACCGATCATCTCTGGAAGCACATTCACACCAGAAATGTGTTTTACTAGTTTCCTAGACATTGTTCAATCCACTCAAGCTGATGATCAAGATTGACCACCCCATCTGGAGAACAGATAAAGGTCTCTTCCCTTTTGGAGCTTCTAAAGAAATTTTCAGTGAACTGTGAAAAAAAGATAGGCAAATACATCGAGTCTTAGAAATACAAACCAGGAAGCAGAGTGAGAAGAGCTGGGTGAGGCAGGTTGAAATTGAACAGCAATGCTGATGAAATATTCACACAAGTTCTCACAGTGCTGTTACAAATGTTGGTTTTCACTCTGAATATTATGAGATGCCATTGGCACAATCTGTGTACTTGTAGGAGAGCAGATAATGAAGATCGAGGCCTAGCTGACCTTCTCTGTGAGCACAAAGGAGAGAAACAGCATGCAGGCAGGAAGAGTCAATGCAGCTGAGATCCGGGTGTTTACCTGGACATATACCACAGATAACAGAGGCAGATGAATCTTCTGCCACACTAATTGCTTACTCCTGTGTCTAAGTAAATAAAAGCAAGATGGGCCAAATGCTCAGGGTTTTTTGTCCACCACAGGCAAGAGCCCCTTGGCCTCTCTTTCATAATTATCTCCGTGTCTTGACTTTAATCTCCACTCATCTCTTCCAGTTAGGTGTTTCTAACAGGCTGGTTTCCTGCACGTACTGGGATGTCAATCTGAATTAAGACTTTCAGGGGTTACATAGGCTGCCTCATCATGAACAGACCAAAGAGGTAAAGACACACAAGAGTCCAGCCCCTGTGCAGTTCTGATGATCCCAGCAGAGGATCTTTGCAACGGCAGAAGGGACACAGTGAAGGGGAGGAACACTGCGTGCATGCCCATGGAAAACCAGTAAGAGTTGCGGATTGATCTGCTGTGGCATATCAGAAAGGCGAGATTTAGGGATGATCCTATGAGTTTTGGGAGGCAGCAGGAACATTTTTTGTCTATTTACTTGCTTCATTATTTGCCTTACATAGGAGGCATGGAGTGAGCATTAATTGATACAGATAAGCACCCAGCAGGAAAAATGGACCAATGAAAGTGTGGCGGTCTTTCTCCCATTTTATTAATTCAACAGATACAATTTTACTGAGCTGCAATTTCAGGTGATGCTCTGTTTTAGATGTCAGAGATAACACAAAGGAGTGATACTGTCCTTACCCACTGGGAGATTCTGTCTATGCAAGGCAAGATTTTGAGTAATTTCTTCCTCCATCAAGAGGAAGAAATTTGGTACACAGAAGAGAAGTCAATTAATCACCACATAGAATATGATTAAAGAAAATCATTTTCAGTCCTCTTGTGATGGAGAAGTAATGTGATTAGGACCTATAATGCTACATGAAAAGCTAAATATGTCCTCATCTTACACTGGACCTAACTGCTAACCCCTCAACCAGAGCCATTGCTGTTAGCATTCACCCCACTCCCCCAGGAAGTAGACAAATGATTTTGTATGAAGAGAGTTGGCTTTTTATTTTCAAAAACCCCTTTCATCTTGAAGCATCAGTTGTAAGACTCCTGAAGGACAGAAGAAGATGTAGGAGTAAAACAATTTCAAATAAATTGACAGTGCCCTTCCAAACACAGCAATTTGGTAGATTGCAGGAAAAGTGACAGCCATAAAACTCAAATAGCTTAATATCATTCAGGTTGCATTGTTGGTTCAAGAATCTTTCCTTAAAGTGTTAAGATTTTGGAAACTAAGAGAAAAATGATCACATATTTTATCTTGAATTGTGTATTTATAAATTTTTTAAGTTATACCTTGTAGACATTTCAGTTTTCATAAGTGGCTCAACATTTCCCTCTTGTGTGTAATGATCAGCCACCTATGTAACTTTCAACCTATCTGAGCTGAGGGAGTAATATATTGGTTGTGCAAATACTTTACATCTTCTAGTTTTTCCTGTAGCTGAGGTGGATTTATTATGAAATGTGGTGATATCTCACCAGGAACAATAGAGGGAAAAAAATTAACACTTCTCAGCTTTCTTCACAAAATAGTTTAGAAGGTGGAAAGTTGAAACAATTGATTGAGTATAGCTGTTATTAACAATGTGGTTTACAATGGTAGAATAGAGTAGAATTTACCAAGTCTTTCTTGCCTATAATAACAAAGGAAGAAAGGTTGAAAGGGTAAATGTTTGAGGACACTAAATAAAATTGTGTAAAATACACCACATAGTTGGCAAGGAAAATAAGCACATCACAATGTGACCTGAGTTGGCTTATATGCATTATTAACTAGTAGTGCTGATTTCAAAGACTTCCTTCCTCTTTCTGAGTTTTTGATTATAGGTTATGGAGTGGAACGTTGTAGTAGCTTACAAAGGGCCTAAATATAGTTAATATTTCTGTATAAATGTTGGAATAATCACAGTAGTCTCCAGCCAAGGCAGCTTTCAAATAAAGAATACGGGTCTATGGGGTTAAACTATTTTCATCATAGTTTGCTCATTTTAAGGGAAGAGAAAATAGTTCCTTGTTTGTCAAGGCCTCTGCCTTTTCTCTTTTTCAGTCCCCCAAATTCAAGAGTTCTTTAAATCCAAACATGATAAAATGTAGTGATTCTCTAATTACTCTCACTATAGGATGATGTTCTTGCACATACTAATGTGAGCAGAATACTAACTGTTTGCAAACGATGGAAGATAAATAGGGTGTGCGAGTGACTGTCTACGCTGCTCACAAGGCCTTGGAAGGGGCTACCTGTCAGGAGCCCAACGTGTTCATACTCACCCCACTCACTGTCCAAAATGTTGCCAAGAGCTGAAATCCAAATTCATTTAATCCCTTCACCTCATTAAATTTTTCTGACATCTGTTGTTAAAATCACTGCATCGTGTTCAGTTGTCTGATTTACCCACCAGGTTGAAGTTCCTGGAGAACAGGGGTTTAACTACCTCTTTTACTGAAGCACCTCCAGAGTAGGCAATCACAATAAGTTCTACCACTGAACTGTCAGTGCCAGCATCACCCTTGTGAAGACAGAGCTCTCTTCATTGCAAATGGACCGCCAGACCCAAGTCCATTGGCTCACAGTTCAAAGCTAATACTCAAGAGACAAGCACTGGTGGGAAGGAAATCAGGTTTATTCAAAGGCTAGCCCCTGAGAAAATGGGGCGCTATTGTCTCAAAGGCAGCCCTAGGGAATGTGAAGGCCGCTTGCCGGAGGGGAAGAAGGGGCAGGGCACACTCTGCAGAAAGACAACGTGGCCAGCAGGCTCTTCATTGTCGAGGGTAGTGCTCTTTCTCTGGCCAGGACACCCTTCAATTACAGTCTGCCCAAACCTCTGGGGATGAGTTTCTGTAATTCTTTAGACAAAGCACATTGTTCTTCTGCAAGCCACACATTATCTGTATTTCTGCTTTCAGTTAAAGAATAGATTTAGCAAATTATAAGGTGTGAACCAACTATCTGGTGAATGTTTGCTTTTAAAAATATATTAAGAGACAAGTATTGCTATTAATCTCCCTGGAAATCCTCTCCCTCACTTCACACACACATCCCCCATCATCCTTGTCACTTTCTGGAGCAGTTCTGGAAGTGCTCTTGTGTGAGCGTCTTTATGAGTCATCAAAAATACAAGCTGCGGCCACGTTCCATCCAGCAACAGAAGAGCAAGCCAGCAAGAACGTTATGGAGCACCCCATCTGCCTTATTCATCAGACCTGTCGTTGTCTGACTTATGGGTCTTCCGAAAAATCAAAATGACTATCAAAGGTAAATGTTTTGAATCAATTTAAGACATCAGTGAAACCAGGACAGCGCAACTAGAGATATTCATGGAAGAGGACTCTTTATGCTAACATTTTTTGTGCTCTTGAAAGTGAATGTGGCCATAGGTCTATGAAATGATCTTAAGCAAATAATAAAGGCATTCAGTGAATCTATGAAACAATATATATTTCCTAGCCAACAACTTTATATTTGAACCTAACCATGCTAGAAATAGAAAGCATAGCTCTCACATTGGGACAAACTTTCAAGTAAAGATGTGTTACCTTTTCTTTAACCTTTTTTATTTTTTTTAGTTTTTTAGTTTTTTTTTCAGTACCGGGAATAGAACTCATGACCTCACACTTGCCAGGCAGGCGCTGTGCCACTGAGCTAAATCCCCAGCCCCCTTTAACCTTTTTTAAACACCAAAGTTATTCCCTGTCCTAAGTCACAAAGTTCAAAAGGATAAGGACCATAGTTATTCATTTTTATCCTAATGGCTGATACACAGTAATTCTTCAACAAATGCTTGCAGGTAAGTGAGCCAATTACCTATGTCACTATTTTTAATTTGATAATTGAATAATCTGTACTATCTAGTATTTCCACATAGGACACCAAATGCATAAATGAGGTAAAGGTGATAATCAGACTGGGTAGCAAAAATGTATTGTAGTTGATAATTACATATACATGTATATATATTATATACAGTCAAATAGATACATGGCTATGTATGTGTAGATAGAGAGAGACATAGAAGAGAATAATTTGGTGAAACCTAGACTTATTTTGTAGTACAGTAACATACTCTGGAATGTCTAGTAAAATACTTTGGGATACTTTGGGATTAAAAGATATTTGCAAAATAACCTATGGCTACAATATTGGCAGAATGGTGTTAGAGAAAGCACTAGTACCTCACTTAATAGGGCATTCTGAGAATTAAATAATAAAACATATTGTGAGCCTTAAAACAGTGAACAGGACAGAGTATGAACTTTGTGGAAGGGGACAGTGGTTGTCTGTCCAGCTGGTACTGTTGCCACTCAGGTTTGTAAACCATTGGGAACTTTGAAAACTTATAATTTGAAGGTGTAATTAATTAAACAAGCATTTGCTAATCACCTATGACACACCAATTCTGGGTAAAGTCCTGGAGACCAAGAGATGCAGTGTAGGATGGGATTTCTGCCCATGCTGTGCGGTGGTAATATAAGTCATGATGATGTCATAATGCAGGTGTGTTCAAAGCTCTATAGCACACAGCGACTAAGCTTGTCTGGAAGAGGTTATGAATCCTTCATTGGGAAGTGACCTTGAAACTGGATCACATAGGATTTCCAGAGGACAGAGGAGGAAAGATTTCTACACTAAGATATCAGATATTCAAAAGCTCACAAGCAAGACACAAACAGCAGAACAACTTTTATTGGATGGAGCACAGACAACATGGTCCCATGGTATAGGTGAGACTGGAAAGATGGGTGACTTCGGACAGTCACCACAAAGCGTGGGAATGAATATGTAGCCTAAAATGTAAGACATTTTAAAACAGTATGAGATACACCCGAGACTTTACAAGAACTGGGCTCTACGAAAACCCAGAACGATGTGGACACCTACTGATGTTTCAGAGGATGGCCTCCAGCCCTGCAGGGTCACTCCCTGGAGACCCTGACAGCAGCTGTAGTGCTCTCTGCACCAGTTACACTTGAGTGGACCTGGGGAACTTAATTTAGCAGCAGAGTCCATCCACGCTTTGGAAAGAACCTGACTCATTTTCCTTGACCATGGACATTAAGCAATGCTGTCACTGCGTATATTATAGACACAGCTGGATGGATCCTGATTGTCTTATACAGCAATGTTTCATCTCACAGTAGCACAAGCAGAGGCAAGAGGAAAAACTAAGCTGCCTCCAAAGCAGTTAATGAGAACTGTGAAGAGTTCTCCTTTACACACTCTATGGAAACTATAGTGACAAGTGTGTGATGGTTTTTATGCCCGAATCTTTCCCTTTAGAAATGAAAGTACCTATTAAAAATGTAAAAGTGCAGGCTATTATGAATATAAAAGGGATTTGAAATGCTATGGGCTTCAAAATGTGTCTATACTATGTGATAACAAATGAAAGCCTCTAAGTCCAAAAGTTAGTTTCAAAGCCTTTTACACTTTCTATAACCATTGTGACATTTTATTATGAGAAAAAGTTTCCTTGGAATAATGTGACTCTATTTCTTACATTTGGTAGAGAGTTTTTTCTAGGTATATATAGAACTCATTTCAATAGACCTTTATAATTACAGAGTCTCATGGCAACTACTTGAGTTCATTCCACTTTCTGTCCTTTACCTTCAGGTTCAGTAACTTAGATGATCAGAGCACTAAATGTGTCTTCCCCTTTCTTTAGGAAGGTTTGTACATGTTCTGATGGACTCTGAGTGTCATGATGAAAAACAAATTCCTTTTCCCCCTCTGAAGTCAACAACTTGGGATGATTATATTGCTTCTAAAATTGCTCTTGTTCTCTTGGGGTTTTCAAGGTTCACTTAAGTGCCCAAACCTACTCACGTCTTTATCTCCGGTATAACAGTTTAGAAAGATGTAAAGCATTACATGGCAAAAGGCATCCTGTCTTTAAAGACAGATGGCAATTTCATCTCCATTTAAAGGAAATTTGTAGAGGTTTCAGCCAACTCAGTGGACTGCAAAGGTTGAATAACTCAGACAAGATCATCTAACTTGTAAATAGCGGCTCCACCTGGCTCCCGACTTCACAATGACTTCCCTCTGTTGAGATCAGCTGAAGTTTCAACATGGGTAACTGTTGGAGGTCTGGACTGAGCCAGATGAGGAATTCAATGCTATCTTTTTCAAAGCTTATTCATTCAAAAACATAGTTTCAAGTACCGGGTAATGCACCCTACATTTGCATAAAATGGTCTAAGCACTGGTCTTAGCCCTAGAAGTGTTTAGCCAAAGTAGGGATGAAATGTCATGAATTAAAAAAAGAAGGAAGCGAAAATGCTATTGTATGTTATATACTCTTCAGAGAAATGTGGAAGAACAAAGCATGAGAAACCGGATCTTCTGCACCGGGATAAGATAGAGTGATGGAGTGAACCGGGCATTAGTCTCCTGACAGACACTGTGTGAAAGGTATCGGTTGTAAAATTCAATTACATATTTTTTAAAAACTTAAATCCCTGAGATGACTGAGATCTCTGATTTGTTTTTGACCTTTTATGTCTAATAAACTACCTAGTTCTGTGTGTGTTTGACAATTAAAGCCGTGCTCCTCACTCCCATTTTGTCCTGTGCAAATGCATCACTACCCTCATAATGTGTTCCAAGGGTAGAATGGTGCCTCATTCCCTGCCCTCAGGTCTTAAACCCTTCTAACCTACCTGCTTATAGCTATTAGATCCATCTTCTTGGAATTCATACTTGACTGTGTTATAATCACTTGTTAAAACACTTTTTATTCTTAGTAAGTTTATTGGTACAATTTAGATATGCACAATGATCACATACATCATAGGGAATTTGTAGCTGTACATGATATATCTTGATCTTTCTTTTTCCCCTAATCCCCTCACCCCCCTTTAGTCCCTCTTCCCCTCCTTATTTACAAAACTTTGTTTCCCTTTTATACTTCTTTTCTCATTTTTTCTTTTATCTTCCTTTCTTTCCCCTTCCTCTTCCCTAGTTCCTCTTTATCTTGAACATTTTTTTCCTATTTCACAATAACTATTATGCACTTTGGTCCTCATTTACACTTTCAGTTTCTCACTCCATAGAAACAATGCGGTATTTACACATGTGTGTCTGACATTTCACTTAAGAGTATGGTCTCAAGGCACAGCCAGCTTCCTAGAAATATCTCATGTATTCTTCTTTATGGCTGAGTAGTACTCTATTGTATAAAAAAAAACACATCTTTTTTTATCCATTCCTCTGTTGATGGGAATATGAGTTGTTTCCAATATTAAGTTATTACAAATTGTGCTGCTATAAACCTTGGTGTGGAAATATCACTGTGGTATGATGCTTTTAATTCATGCACAAAGATACCCAAAGGAGATCCTCAATAAGATATTGGCACTGCTAATATTTGGTGGTTTATTGAACAGAAAAATTATTGCTTAAAATTTTTTATATTTTGACTAATTTTGCATGATTATATCTGGTAGTCTGAGCAACTGATCTGAAGACAACAATATGCAATAGAACAACCATTGGTGAGTACCTACCATCTTGTATACTGCAACTTTGTATCATCTCTAATTTTTTAATAATTATTTTTTATTCTCTTTAATAGTTTAAAACAGTCTTCCATTCTTACATCTGGTAATCTGAACAATGTAGTTGAAGATAACAATATGTAATATAACAATCACTGTTAATTCCTATCATTTTGTTTTGAAACCCTATATCACTTTTAATGTTCTTCCTTTTTTTATGTCTGTGATGTTGGCATTTTGCTATTGTTCTTTTTTTTTTTAACTACTCTCTTCAAAATAAAAAAAATAAGATACTGGCAAACAAAATACAGGAAATCATCAAGAAAAATTATACACCATAACCAAAGAAGATTCATCCCAGGGATGCAAGGATGATTCAAAATATGCAAGACAATAAATATAATACACCATATCAACAGAGCCAAAGACAAAAGTCACATGATCATCTCTACCAATGCAGAGAAAGCTTTTAACAAAGTCCAATGCCCATTTGTGAAAAAAGCTCCATAGAAAATTGGAATAGATGGTGTTTAGCTCACTCTCATAAAAGCCATCTATGACAAACCAAAATGGACAAAAACTGATAGCTTTCACTCTAAAATCAGGAACAAGACAAGGGTGTCCACTGTCATCTCTCCTATTCAATATAGTTCTGCAAACTTTAGCCAGAGCAATCAGACACAAGAAAGAAATAAAAGGAATAAAGATAATAAAGAAAGAAGGTAAATTATCATTATTTGCAGATGACATGATACTGTACATATAAAACCCCAAAAGCTCCACCAAAAGACTCCTAGATTTAATAACCAGATTCAGCTGCATAGCTGGATGCAAGATCAACACTCAAAAATCAATAGCATTCCTGTACACCACCATTTGTCAAAATATTTTAATGACTGCCTAAAACTAAATAATTTGCTTGCAAGCTATGTTTGCTAACCTATCCTAATTTTTCAAGGAAAATCTTAGACATAGAACTCCAACCACTAAGACAAATCAAAATGTAATTTACTTACAGAGTTATTCTCAGTAGTGTGGGTCTTACGGATGTAGAATCATAACTCAAAGCGACAGAAAATCAAGAAGCACAAGTTGACACAGTAGTCCTGAGCACCATCATCACCAGTGACATCTTAGAGCCGTGCTATCCGCCAGCAGCTTTGGAACGAGTTGAGCGCATGTCAGAAATGCTGAATCCCAGGCTTACCCAAGCCCTAAAAAGGGAAGCTATTCTTTAAAGATCTCCAAGTGATTTGTATGCTCGTGCATTTAAAGTGTTCTAGCTTTGCAGTTTTCATCTATGGAAACTGACTCATCTGTGGAGTGATCTTCACAGTCTGCACCCAAGGGTCTTCATGGGGGTGAACTTTCACCAGCAGCACCTCAGCGCTCCACTCCGTGCTTCCTGTGTGCCAGGGGAGCTGGGCACCTTCCTCACAGACCATCCCCTGTGTTCTTCTCGCCCCGTCTACCGTCTGAGCGTGCCTGCCAGCCCTATTGCCTGTCCTCAATCTCTGCCAATCAGAAAACAGCACTTATTGTAAAACAGCACTATGGCTCCCACCTCTCTTCTTCCTGCCCCTAAAAACATGTGATCTGTCATCCTGAGATGCCCGTAGCCATCACTACCTTATACAGTGTTCATTGCGTTTGTGTTCCCGCGCTCTCTGGTTATTTGGATTTCATCTCATCTCCTATCAGACTGAAGGTTTCCAGTAATCAGAACTCTAGCTTACTCACCACGGGTAAGTACACACAAAATATTTTTGAAGTGAAACTGATATTTACTGGTAAAAGAGATAAATAAAAGGAGCACATTTTAAACTGGCAAGAACTCCAAAATATACAGATATACATTTTTCAAGTAATAAATTATCTTTAAGTTGCCTTACAGGAAATACCTCCAACACCTACCACCGTCAAAACCCAGTATTAGATACACACATAGGAGCTGATCCGGCCAGTCCCTGATCTTTTGATGTCACAAGCTCAAAATCTCTCGAGTAGAGCATGAACTCCTACAACAGAATATGCAGCCCACAAAGAGGCGTGATGACTGTCCATATCTTGCGCAAAAAAACCTTAAAACTTCCCGTCTCAACCATCCAATCAATAAGCACTTTCTCTCTGTCCTATACCAGGATTCCCCGTGACCAACTGATCTGCAAGACAGATTTCTCCTTGCCTCTGTATCCTTGATGATCAGCCCTCAATACAAAGCTCTTTTATTTATTCATTTTTTTCAGTTCCAGAAACCCAGAGTCATAGCAATGGCCTTTATGCATTCTAGGCAGCATGGAGTCCAATATCTGGGTTCTAACTCTATCTCTGCCAAAAATCTTAGTCAAGCCCTTCTGTTATATATATAAAGAGTCCCCCCAAGTTCTGAGAGTATGTTAGTTGTGATGATTGTGGTCAGGTATGAAACATCTCTCAGGACTATAAATTTAAAGCTATAACTGAACTCCATTCTACAACTATCCTCCTTAAAAGTATACAAAAAAGTGTAGAAGATAAAATCAAAACTTATAAACCAAATTTCATAGTTACTAGATTATATCAATTTATTCTTCAAGGAAGAAGAACTAATATTGAAATCAAGGCTTAAATGATCTTTTATTAATGTAAAAGTCTCACTTTTAAAAAAGACTTTTTAAAAAGCGTATGAGGTTGTGGTATTGTGAAATAATATTTGCTCTCTGTCCTTATTTCTTGGTATAGAACTCCTAAAATCTTTGGACTCCCCGAAGCGCTCTTACTCTGCTGGTGAGACGGCTGCCAGCTGCTAGGTAGCTTCAGAAAGGGTCTGGGCACAGGAAAGACCAAGGCAAGAGAAGATTCGAACTATCAGCCCCACCCTCAACTTCCAGGGAGGGAAGAGAGGAAAGAATAAGTTGATCAGCAACAGCCAGTGACTTCATCAACGCGTCAGTGAAATGAAGCCTCCTCGAAAACCCTGAAGCATAGGATTCAGAGAATCCCTAGGCTGTGTAACGGGACACCCCTAGAGGGACCTCTCCTGGAGAAGGCATCGAAGCCCCGTACTGCTTCTCCTGTCCTTTGGCCTGTCTTACTCTCTATCCAGAGTTCATCAGTGTCCTTTGTAACGGCCTTTATAATAAACTGGCAGACATGCTCCCCTAAGTCCTGAGAGTCACTGTAGCAAATGAATCCCATGGGAGGAGCGGGCTGTGTGCGCCCTGATGTATAGCCAGTTGTCAGAAGCACAACTCACAACCTGGAACTTGCAGATAGCACTGAAGAAAGCAGTCTTAGGAACGGAGCTCTCAAACTGTGGGGTCAGATGAAGCATGCTGTTGAGAGACAGCAGAGAAGAAACGGACTTTGGGTCTGATTTTTCCTGCATCTTCAGAAAGGTACTTATAACAAAAGACTTCTCATAAAGGACATGAACTAAAGAAAAATAAGAATTGGAATGCAATATGAGAGCAAGAAGCTCAACAGCGCACTGAAATTGTACTAAGCAAGTTGCCTGCTTTTTCTCTAATCCCCAAGCAGACAATGGAGATCCTAAAGTCATTCTGTGATAAGCTTTAACATCCACCATAGAAAGAGCCTTTCCCAGCTAAGTAATTCATAAACTTTACAAGAAAAATACAAAGGAAGTGCTGGGAAAGGTGGCTATTTCTGAGGTCTTCGTAGAAAGAACAAGGTTATGAAAGGATAGAATAATGGATTTCTTGTGGGTATTTTTTATAAAACCCTCATGGTCTGGTGACGTTAGAGTTTTGTATTTTAATAAATTCAATCATACAAGAGCCAACATGGTAGAGATAGCAAGCTCTCTAAAGATGCAATACGGCTGATGGGTATATTTTAGAATATCTAGCACATAAGATGGGCTGTGTCATTCCAACAATGAAGATTTAATGACTGCTAGTGACAGAAAGCTAGCAATATTCTTCCAGAAAGTACTTGGAGGATGCTTATTTAGTGCTGACAGTTGAGTAGGAATTGTATGTTATAAGAGACAGTGGAGCTGGAATTGGGGTGAGTCACTCTTAGTGAAAGCCAAAGAGTTAAGACACTGTGATTTGCTTATATAAATCAGCTTTCTGTTCCCATAACAAAATACTGGACATAATCAACTTATAAGCAGTAAAGGTTCATTTTGGCTCAGTCCATGGTCAGATAGTTGATTGCTTTTGGGCCAGTGGTGAGGCAGTAAATCATTGTAGAAGCTTGTGGTGGATAAAGCGCTCACCTACAGCAGCTGGGAAGAGCAAAGAAAGAAGGGAAGGATCTGGCTCCCAACACCTCCTTCAAGGGCACATTCCCGTGCCCTAACTTCCTCCAGTCAGGCCCCGCCTCTTAAAGGTTCCCGCGCCTCCCACTGGCAACACAAACTGATCTCCAAGCCTTTAATGCATGGTCTTTGGGGAACATTTGAATCCCGCCTATAACATTGCCCTGATAAAGTCAAATTCTAAAGCAACTGCTAGGAGCTGGGGATTTAGCTCAGCGGCAAAGCGCCTGCCTGGCAAGCGCAAGGTCCTGAGTTTGGTTCCCGGTACCGGAGAAAAACCAAAAAAAAAATAAAATAAAATAAAGCAACTGCTTTACATATTTTCTGAGGCACAAATGGACAAGAAAAAGCCCCAACTTATTTCTCATAGTGTGACTCTCATCATTTTAATGCTCAAAAATTTAAGGCAGGTATAAGACAAAATAGTCTTACTGTATCTGGATTTCTCTTCAATTAATGATTTTTAAACTTCTCCCAAGTGACACTGATCCTTTCACTTGATGAAACGCTAAGTGGGAGATGTTACTAAAGATCATTTTAAAGGCACAGAAAAATGGTAGTGCACAAGTATATTACAGTATTAATAGTGTTGAGATTAGGACATTAATTTTTCTTCCTACTTTAAAGAATTCTATAGTCTATTAAAATCACACATGAATATTAGATAAAAATAAAGGTACAAAGAAAAAGACATTATTACACTACAACATGAACACATTGCTTTCAAAAGAGCTACCAGATATATAGGTGAAAATTGTTCATTCAGCAAGGAGTCTGTATTTCTTGGCCAAAATATTTTGGCTTTTTTCAAGGAAAAGTCACAAAAATTAATGAAGATGAATTGCCCAGAGATAAATTTTAATGAAAGTGAGCTACAAAAGCTGCACATTTATTGCCTTTAATTGGTCATTTGATAGCAGCACATTTGGTAGCAGAACACATTGTTTAAACTATCCAAGAACATTTGGCCTTATCTTATTAAACCAATAATACAAATCCAAGTAAAACTGGGAGCCTCCTCTTGTCCACTGGAACTATGACAGAAAACTTTCCAAATAGCAAAATACATGTGAGAATATGAAGAAACACCTACAGAGAACACTATTAGTATTTCAGTTAAGTCAGATATTTGTTGACCCTGGATAAATTTGGAATTTGGTGAGCACAATTAAAGTCAATTTTGCTTCCAGGAAACAACAGAATTTTAGTGAAGGAAAGAAGAAAACTTACAGCTACATTCCAGACACCAGACAGACTTTTCCATGAAAGACCTTAAAAATCATATTTTTGGACTCACATGGTGCCATCCACCAACCAAGAGTTCATCCCACCAGTATGTGCCAACGTCTGACAGGGCATTGATGATAAAGTTGCTGAGAATCACAGAACTTAAAATAAGTAGGGTGACGCCGTAGTTTGGATAGACAATGCCAGCCAATTCCAAATATTAAAGGCCTGGCCCCCATTTTGATGCTATTCTATTGGAAGGTGATGGAACATTTAAGAAGTAGAGCTTAGTGGTCATTTCAGGTCGTTAGCAGCAGGCCCTCGAACAGGAAGGGGGACCCCAGCCCCCTCCTCTTGCCCTCTTTCTGTTCAACCACGAGATGAACAGTTCTGCTCCTCCATGCACTGCTCCCATGATGTGCTGCTTCTCTGTGTAGGCCCAGAAGCAATAGGGCCAACTGACCATGAACTAAGACCTCTGAAACTGTAAGCCAAAAATAAATATTTTCTTTCTGCAGTTGATTGTCTCAATCAGAAGTATTTGTTATAGAGACAGAAAGCTGACTCTCCCAGGAAAGCAAATAGCACACTAAAGAATCATGTGATGGGATTGTAAGTAAATATCTGGTGCTCATCTCTACTGTTCATCTCTGGCTCCTCAAATACAGTGCTTGAAACCTTTAGAAATCTGCAGAGTCATAAGGGGGTCTTTATCACTGCAGCAGATGAGTGGTAACTGGCTGGGAAGCCCCAGATAATCTCAGGATGGGGACAACTCACCGGAAAGACTAAGGTTGGTCTTTATCAACCTGTTCATTTGTATCCTTTATAATAGTCTTCATAATAAACCAGCAATGGTAAGTGTTTCCTTGAGTTGAAAGGGCCTCTCTTAGAAATGACCAAAACTGAGAGGAGGGTGTTGGAAACCTGAAACTTGATAGCCAAATCAGGAAAAAGTGTGGGTATCTAGCTACCCAATACCTGACATCTTTTGTGGACACAGTCCATGGGGTCTCCACTAACTCTAGGTAATAGTTAACATCAAGTTAAATGAAATTCTAAGGTACTTAGCTGGTGATCAAAATATGATCAGTTGGTATAGGAGAGACATATTTGATATCAGAAATGCTGAGAATAAAACAGATTATCACAGCATTGTACAGAAAGTACCATGCTGTCTCAGAGAAGCTCCAAAACAGATTTAGGGAGAGATTAGAGAGTGAATAATGTCTACGTTGAGCGTATGCCTACAGCTAAATTGCTAATCATCCATGATGCAGTTAACTGTAAAGAAGATCTATCAAAAGTGAACTCTCCACTACACTATTCAGTGTGTAGAGGGGTGCTGCTCAACTTAGGCTCATTAAAAGAATCACTATTCTCTATTTTTTCCATCACTCTGTCTGGTCTACACTGGCATTGAGTAAATCATTGCCAGATGAATGAAGGAACTGTTGCAAGGAGGTAAGGAATTGCTCATTGGGGCTTTAAGGTTTTTTTTAATTTCCTTTCTTGCAGTGACTAACAACAGTTTTCTTATGTCTGGAAAACCATGCACAAAAAGAAATAGGGCAGCTGTAAAAATATCTAAAACTTACCTTGGCCTTAAGATGTGAAGGCAGTTTGAGACTCATGAAACAATCAAAAACTGGGGCTGGGGATTTAGCTCAGCGACACAGAGCCTGCCTGGCAAGTGCAAGGTTGTGAGTTTGATTCCCGGTACTGGAAAAAAAAAAAAAAAAAAAAAAAAAATAAACAGAAAAAACCCAAACACTTTAAAGTATTAAAATTAGCATTTTCGTAAAAGAAAAAATGACAAGAAATTCTGATCCAGAGAGCATGCTCCCCACCAGCACTCTAACTGATGCTTTTGTTTTGAATCTGTATTATGCAGATTAGAATGGTATTGTAATTACCAGGAATGTTTGGTTGGCATTTGTTCAGAAAAAATTTCCCTCTCTTAGGTATGACTTTATTTCATGAAACAAGAAGAAAAATATTCCAGTAAAACATATCTCTAATTTAATATTATTATGAAAATGCTCTCTTTAAAAGATTGTTTTTGAAGTGTTGAAACAAATTGTTCCTCACTGCCACAAATTATCTGTACAATTTATTTTAGTGATGGGTGTACAATTGCTTTTCTATTCTATTTCACAAAAGCTAATTACCCAACCAACATTTTAACCATTTATTATCCCCATAGTTTTAGGAATAGAAAATAAATTAAGATATAATTTCCATTCTCAGTGAATTTATAGCCTTGGTAGGTAAATGCATTAAAAAATAATAATATAGGCTTTGGGCAGAAACTGCCATCTTCCAGTAATTTACCAAAGTGATGAACACAAAGGCAAAGAGGAAGAGAAGCTGGTACGTGTTCTCCAGGCCTTTTAGAAAGCATGGGTTGTTCCTTGGCCACATATGTGCAAATCAACAAAAAGGGTGATACTGTAGACATCAAGGGAAGGGGCACTGTGGAAAAAGGAACACCACACAAACATTACCACGTAAAACTGGAAGAGTCTACAGTGTTACCCAGCGCGCTGCTGGTATTGTTGCAAACAAGCAAGTTAAGGGCAAGATACTTGCCAAGAGGATAAGTGTGCATATTGAGCATATTAAAGAGTAGAGGAAAATAACCAGAAACAGAAGGAACCCAAAGAGAAAAGTACCTGGGTTCAACTGAAGCACCAGCCTGCCCTGCCCAGAGAAAGGCACTTCATGAGAACCAACGGGAAGGAGCCCAAGTTGCTGGACTTGTTCTCTACAAGTTCATAGCATAAGCTGGCCATGTAGCTCTGCTGTTGAGCACCTAATTAGTGGCTAAGAGCTCTAGGCCCTTTTAAAAAAAAAAAAAAAAAATCATCCTGTGTTGAAAGGATGGTTTTCTTAATTGAATAGGTGTGTTGCCTTTACCCCAGAGAAATAAGTACTTGAAGCAGATTCTCATTGTACCTAGTTCATTGTGGCAGATCTTTACCCTTTAGTGGTTTTCTTGCTGAAAGATGTGAGGTATTGTGCAGGTATATACTACAATGGCCCAATATTTATGAAATATTTATATAGGCTTGAAGATCTTCCAAATCACCTTGGGGAAAAGATGTATCAAAATAAATGGAAGTCAGCATATGGCATTTCAGTTAAATAAATTTTTAAAAATATATATATGGCAAAAGTGATAAAATAATTGGTGGTCTCTAAGATGGTGTTACTGCTTGCATCTAGATGTCCCTCCAAAGCCTCATGCATTCATAGGTGGGCCTTCTGAGAGTGACTGGAT